ACCGGTCCATGATAGAAGTCACTGCTGTAGCTTTTAAAACTGTTTCTTGTTTTGTTTCTGTATAGTTTTTCATTCTCCTCAGTCCTCTGCTATTTTTAATATCTCAGAAAGCATATTAGTGGTAATCTTATTATATGACATTTAGATGGTGGGATCTCTTGCATTAAGCTATTTCTCAAAAACAGGTCTCTGAACACTGATCCTTCCCTACTGCGTGTATCCCTCAGGTGTGATAATGCTTGCTGTCCTAAGGAGCTTAAACAACGGTTGCACAGCCAGGCCACACATCAAAGGTCTGCAAAAATTCTCAACAGTCAAGTTTTGTTTTCAGTTAATACCAATGTTATCAAGTGGCTCTACTTCTAGCTGTCATTTTTCCAAAACACCTTTCAGGCAAGGAATTATTAAAATAAAAATGTACCCTTGGTGTTCAATCCTTTGATCAATATACTAAGGTTTTAAATCCTCTTCTATCCTTAAGTTTAATAGGAACGCAACACAGGTACCAGGCTACAGTTAAGGATCTGTTGGCAATTCCACAATAATCTCCCATTTTCAGGGGCTTAGAATACCATTAAAATTTGCTGTAGGTTGAATCTTGGTATATGAAAGCACCGGTTGGAAATGGATTTCATTTATTTCTTATCCTATTTTTCTCTTTATACCTTGTCAAGTTTGAGTGGACACAGACAGAGAGATGGACACATATATACCAGGCTCTTTATAAGTTCCTAAAAATCTATTATCTATTTGATAATCAAAAATGAGTGTTAATTCTATGCTCTACTAAAATATCATCTGTCTGAATGACCTCGGTAATGGAGTTTGAAGGCTAGTACCAAAATGAAAAAGTAACCAGACCTCAAATAGTCATGTTAGTAAGAATTTAACAAAATGGAATAGGCTCTGTTGCTACCTTATATTACAGGTATCTTTTCCCAAGAATGACAAGTTCGGGGCATTATTTTAAATATGAGGCTGGGCATCATATTCATTAATACTGAGGAAAATAACTTAAATTTTTCCATGATTAAAGAAGTAAACCCACTGTTCCAGATCCTACAAGACTAACACACTCTAATCTTTCTATGACCTAATTTATATAACTACAAGCATACTAGTTTACTTAACCCAAGATAGTCTATTTTACAGGATACTGAGCAAAGAGCTGATACCTAGAGAAATCCTTATATGAGAAAAGCGCTACTTTCTTTTCTGAAAAATGAAGCAAGTATTGCTATGTATGTCTGTCCTCACAAATGAAATGCCTATAGATTAGGTGACCTATGGTGTAAGATTACAGAACCTGTCAATCTCAATATTCTAATGGAAGCCTTGTAGTCAGTTCCTTTTATAACAGACCTGGCATGCTTTGTACTTCTGCCATAAATCACTGATGTATCTTTCAAACTCAGTGGTGCACATGATGAAATGTGGTGTGTGTGTCTGTGTGTGCATGCACGCACGCACGCGCAGGTATGCTCAATTTTTAAGATCATGAAATAAGAAAGGTTTGGAGACCACTGCTCTAATCTAGCAACTTATTCCTCTTTTGCTTCTCTCATGGTTTATTTAAAGTACAAATCATTCTGCAAATCCATCCAGGTTTTCATTCAGCCCAGCCCTTCTCCCTTCCCAAGCTAACTTTATTATCAGCCCTGACTCATTAATAATACATTCCCCTATATTTCAACTTTTTCCTCAAGCACTTTGTCTTTACTGTTCTCACTGATGACATCACCTTGTTAGAACCTCCTACAAGGCAGTGCTCACTAACTTGTCCCACCCGAAAGGCTACAAAGGTATTTATAGGGAGCCTCTTCCACACTACTGATTTTAGAAAAACAAATCCATGACCCCATTTGCCAAGCTCTCCCTCGCGTCTCCCCACTCTAAGTGCAGACATGAGCTCTTCCTTCTCTCTCCTCGGCATTACGTGATCTTAGAAAACTTTTAGCGAACAACTTTATTTAGCTCTTTAATGGCAAGAGCTTCACCCTCAGCCAGTGAGTAAGGTCTTCCACAGCTACTCTCTTTGACTACAACCTTGGTTAATTTCCTCCCCCTCCTTTCTGCATTCCCACGTCATGGTCTCTGAGTTTCCAGCGGCTCCATTTCTCCCCTGTGCTGTTTCTTCACTGACATGCTCTTGTTCCAACTTCTTCCTCAAACCAAACAGAAGCAGTCGGTGGCGTAAAATAAGTTACGTGCATGTAAATACAGAACAGGAAGACAGATGAATGAATATGTTCAATATGTGTGAGTTTATTTTAAAATCCTAAGTGTTGTTTAAAACAAAGAAATGTAAGAAAATTAGTATTTATTACTTCAAAACTATCAGTGACCTAGTGAAGTGGTAGGGATGATGTTGGTGGGAGTGAATAGTTAGGTCATACTAGCAATTATCTGTCGCAAATATAAGTCACACTAGAACTTCCATTGCTGTTCAATGGGCTTCTCTCACCCCCATCTCTTACCTTCGTTCATGGGGAGCATGTTATTTCTTTCCTGTTCAGCTTCTACTCTAGGACAAGCCTTTCAACGACGCTCTCCTATTCCTATTGATTAGTGTTGCAATTCATAGAACAGGGACTTCTACCCATAATTCTATGAAGATAACCTAACCACGGTTAATTCAGATATACAGAAACCTAAAGTATACTATTTTCTCTTCTACACATTTCTCAGTTCTTTGTAGATTTCCCCTGCATGGATTAAAGATGAGATACTCAGGGCTATTCTGGGTGTCTTTTGAGTGTATCACACCCTCTTCCTAATCTGTCTTTGAGATCAACAGCACAGCTGCACAGGCATCCCCTGCAAACATGTGAGAAGTTCTAACTCTTGGCTTCCACTTCCTAACTACAGAAGAAAAACTCTGGGATGACGCCCGCTAATCTGCATCAAACCTCCTGGGCAAACCCAATTTATTTTGCATCTTGAGAACTGCTGTTCCAGAAAATCTGCTTTTTGCCAGAGATCATAAACTTCTCTTTCAAGTCCATGGTTTTCTCAGGCTATCTCTTTCCACAGAGTTAACAGCAAAGTTAGCCTGGCTATCTTCCTGAGGCATCCTGTTGAGCATGACCCAGAGGAGTCATCTGCACCCTTATTTCTCCTAGCTAGTTTGAAGTATAGCTTTCTCTTTACAAGTTACCTTCTGTCTCTGGCTACTATCACTTGATTGGAGTCATATCTGCTTTTTCTGTTTGTTTGCTTGTTTTCTTTGTTCATTTTGGTTTTGAAACAGGGTTTCTCTGTATAACAGTCCTGGTTATCCTAGAACTAGTTCTGTAGACCAGCCTGGTCTCTATCTCACAGAGATCAGCCTGCCTCTGCCTCCCGAGTGCTGGGATTAAGAGAGTGCACCACCACCACCCAGCAACACAGCAACATTCCTTATTTTAAGACCAAGTAAATACATTAAAAGTACTTCGTATTTTATAAAATTTTCTTTGCATCATTATATTTAACTTCTAAATCTTTTCTCTCTTTCTATCCTTTCCTTGGCTCATCTCACTCATGCTGTTCTTATTATTGCTCCAACTATCTGTCCTTGCTTCCATGCTTTTGATTTGCTACCAATATGTTCTTCAGCAATTATACATATTTTGTTGTCAATTAACATCTCTAGGCAGATGATTCCATATGTTTTTTTTTCTGACTTTCTTAAGCCTGAATCTCGTTTCCCTTATTTCTGTGTTCCTCTTTAAATAATGGCTAGACTATCATTTGGTTAACTCATCAGAGCAAAGACTAATGTTTTTCTCTTTACTCTACACAATTCTAATCACTTCAGCCAACGACATTAAAGAAATTCAACTGTCTTTTCCTCTCAACAAAACCAAACCTCAGAAAGCAAAACAGTCATCAGTTTTATGAGTAGGAGTATGTAAGGGTTCTGATCTGAAACATTCACTTTCTTTCGTCTGTCTTTAATTCCTCAATCTCAGTAGCTCATAACTTCTGTATGCAGGTGTCTGTATGTGCATGGGTGGTGGCAGTGGTGGGGGATGCGGTTATTTTCCCTGGCATTTAGAATTTAACAGGTGCTTTTAAATATTTATTGGATGAACTAGATTTCGGCTAACATGTCATTTTTCAGGGTTCTGTGACAGCCCCCCCCCAAATTAAACAGTCCTAGCTAAATCTATGCTTTCCTTTGGGTCCCTTTCACCCTGCCTGTTAATTTCAAAGTTCAAAGTTGATCACTTGCTAGTGCATGCGATAAACGAAACTGACTATCCATGAGGGTGCAATACTAGGATTACCATTACAACACTGAAAACCCATCCATTCCTGTCTCTGCAAGATTTTGCAATTCTTTCCAATAAACTTTTTTTTTTTTAAAGATGCTGCCATTTTCATCCTTCCCTTGAGTACCTGGCCCATCTGGAAACTTAGAGCAGGAGATTAAAAACCCCAATTACAAAACAAACCAAGCGCTAAAGAATCTGTAAAGAGACAGAAAACACTTAGAAATGAGACTCCTTTGAAGGAATGCAAACAGATGGGCGGCCTCGTATAAGGAAGAGTACTTGACAAGAGAGCCAGAAAACGAGACGTAAAACAGGAGCTGCAGAGAGGTCTCCGGAACCCTTCGACAAAGGTTTGAGAGTTCCACGGACCCAGTCCCCAGGGGCCGCGTTCTCAGTGCACAGCGCTCTGAGAAGCACAGTCCTTCCAAGATGGGGAGCGGTTAAGATGCCGCACGCAACTGCCCGCAAATGAGGTTTACCCCCCCAGCAGGGAGGAGCCCAACACCCGACGGAGCTCCGCTGCGGGCGCCCCTCGCGGGCTCTCGAGCCTCCCCGAGGCGCCAGGACGCGGGGGGACCCTCGTCACAACTCACCGCTCCGCCCCGCCACTCTGTCCGTGCCCGGCAGCTCTTTCCGAACCCGTCCCCGCCCTAACCGGCATCCGAAGCGAGAAACAAAGGTTCCCGCAACCCGATCGGGAGGGGAACGTTTCCTGGGGAGACAGCAGGAAGTGACGTGACACCTCTTCCGGTCCGCCGGATTATGAATGGCGGTGGGCGGGGGGCTTCCCAGACACATTTGCTTCTTGATTATTTCTAGTTTCCCCCACCCCTCGGGGCCTCACTGGAGGCGAGTGCTCCTCAGGCCGCGGCTTCCAGAAGGAGCCTCGGGATCCCGGCTCGGGCTGGGCGGGAAGGCGCGGCGGCCTGCGTCGCCCACACGCTCTCGCGCACTCCCTGCCTGGCCGCGCCCCTGCGACCAGGTAAAGAGGGCGCTTCGGCTGGTCGGCCCCTCCATGACCCGAGGACCGCGCTGTCCCTCAGGGATCGGCGGGGCTGGGAGCGAGGTGGGACCGGGGAAGTCTTCCCAGCCCCGCAGGCGCCGCAGACTGGTAGCGTAGGTGCAGGTGGAGGGCTTCGCGCCGCTCCCCCGAGTGACGCGTGGGCCACTGCTGCCAGCCAGCCAGCCAGCCCTCCGGTCGTCCTGCGTGTGTAAAGGAACAGGGCAGTTTCACGGTGTAGGGGTTTGGGTGGCCATTTGCAGTTAGGTGCAGGGAAAAGACCCCTTGCAGCACACTTTAACTTTTCCCAAAGAGAAGACTTCCGTTGCAGCCCTTCCTGATTGGTCGCCGTAGTGGATACTGTTTCACAGTTACTCCAACGGATTTGCTGCACCTGGGGACGTTGGCTTATACTATCCCTATCAGAGCAGCGTTTCTCTTCAGTTATTAACTTGAACAGAAAATTTGAGATGAGCTTGCATGAAAATTGCTTTGGCCTAAATAGTGAATACTCAAACACATACCGCCCCAACTTTGCTTTTTGAATTACATGACACCCCCGCCCCCCAGATTCCTTGTCACAAATCCTTAAGGTCAAAAAAGAAAGAAAGACTAATGTGTCTCTTTCCAAATTATTGCCAAAGGATGTGGCGTTTGTCAAGTTATCTTGTGCTTTTCTACAGAAAGGGTGTTTCGAGGAAAGAATACAGAAACTAGCAACAACTGTAATGATTTTAAACATGTAAATATGGTCCCAGAAATGCCACGAGAATAAACTGTTATAATACAACAACTGATTTGCTGTCATACTTATAGACAAAACATTAAGCTATATAAGGGATTTTTTAAATAATTGCTTTGTGGGAGCATACACTATGTAAATGATTGCCTTAAGTATTCTCATTTCTTGAAATTGCATTTCATTTGCACCTGAAGGCTTCATTTTAAGAGGCCTAACTTCAAACATAAGATTTGAGGTTTGAACATTGTTTTATGTTCATTAAAAACAAAAGAATATAACCTTTACACTAGTAAGGAGAGATGGGCTTTCAAGGGAGGAAAGATGGGATGTAGTGGTATACAGGGGGAGGGGAAAAGTGGAAAGGATACTTCTGTATATTTGTTACTTTAAACAAAGATACAAGCAGCTTTGTGGTTGTGGCCCTTAGAAGTGTGGTTTTAATCCTGTTATTCCTTCTAGCTTTTGTTTCAGCAAGACACGATTTGAAATGAGCACAAACAACAATAAGCCAGCTGGTCTTACTAATAGCAGTAATTGGGCAGACTTTAAAACATCTGGTACTAACCAGGTGACACTAGTTTTCACAGTTACCTAGTATGTGTTGCTTTCATCCTTAATTTCAAAATAACTTACTGGATTCTGCTATGGTCACTTCTTGGAATGCAGGGGTTTAAGCTTTGTATCCTAAAATAAGTATTAAGTATTGTTTGCTGAGATAATTCAGTGGGTTTTTTTTTTCAGGCTTGCCGATGCTGTCAACATGTTTACATTTCATGCTGTCAATCCATGTTAACCAGAGATCAGATTTAGCTGCAAGCTTTATTTATGACTCCATAGCAACGGACACCTCTTTGAATCTCCAGAGAGATTATATACTTCTTCCGTAACTAAGATTTCAGTAAGCATTTCACTTCCAAACATTCCTTATTTCATAAAAATTTCTTGCCCTGCTAAGAAAATTGCTAATTTTAATCAATTAGCCTCTGAACTATCATCCTACATGATGTAATGAACTCTAAAAGCTTCATCTTCTTTTCTTTTTTCTTTTTTTTTTTTGATTTTTAGTTAGAGGTAGTTGGCTATTTATCTGTGGAGGGGCATTTTTTAAAAATCTGTATTGTAATAGAGAACTGTGGGGCTTGTAGCAAACAGTGCTGCTTTGTGAGAAGTCTGAAACATGAGCTAAGTTCTTCACTCAGTATATTGAACATTCTCTGATGGAGAGACATTGAACAGGCATAAACATTTCAGTATTTGAGAGAAATTTGTAAATGCTCATACTTCGTCAAACTTTTCCGTCTAATACAGCCTCTTAGTATGTATATCAACTTAAGAATTTTCCGTTTATATTCCACCATTTTATGACACCTTGGTTCTAAACCTTAGTGCCAAATTTTCAGTGTTTATGGAAAAACACTTTTCAGTTCAACACAGTCCATACATTTCCTGGGAAGAAATTTGAAAATAAAAAACATCAGTTGAATTTTTTCCATTAAAATTTATGCATTTTGGTAGTGTCACTAGATAAAGAACTTGTGACTAAATTATTAATGTCTAGTAGGGGCTGAGGTGTGACTCGGTGACAGGGTGCTTACCTATCACATGTGAGGCCCAGGGTTTGATCTGTAGCAGTGCCTAAAGCAAAAGAAGGTAGCTAGTATTTACTTAGGGGCTTCCTATGCGGCCATCGTTGTCCGTTACCATAGCACACCGTAAGGAAGATGCTATTACGGCCCTCATTTCATAACTGAGATAAAGGAAAGTTGTATAAGATGAAGGAAAGCTGTATAGCTCCTGAGAATCAGAGCCAGTGTTTAATCCCAGTTTATTTGTTCAAGAGTCTGGGCTTCTACTCATCATTAGATGTGTGCAGACTCCTTAGTAGTTAACAGGTTCCTAGTTTTTCTGTCTGAATATCAGTTATTTATGTCTTTGTTTCCTTGTACACGTGTTTGGATGAACTCCGCTTACATCCATCCTGACTCAACTCATGTAGGTGAATGTAGTTCTTAATTTTTATTTACACTTAGCCTAGATTAAGTTAGAAGAGAAAATGGTGTCAAAAATGAGGCTAATGTTGTATCAGATGGAGGTCCTCAATAGTATTCTTGTACTTTTGTTGGCAATCATTTGTGTATTCATTTGTCTTTATCATTCATTTCATAAATTAAAACTTGAGTATTATCAATCATTAAAGGTGTCCTGTGATATACTAACAAGGCAAAGAATGCTGGACAACAATCTAAGGAGTGATGGGAGTGTGTTTTCAGTTCACATGGTCAGGAAAGGCTTCTTGAGACAATAGGTGCTAGAGAACTCAGCAACACGAGGAAGGGAAAACGAACAGCTAAACACAAAAGTTCTCAAGCAGAAGATTCTGGCATCCCTGAGGAACAGGGAGAAGTATAGGTGAAAAGAGAAAGGCTATTAAATAAAGTCAGAAAATCAAGCAGGGGTCACAATAGATTCACACTGTTTAAGTGTGCTGAGGGACTCTAGGTAACCTTGTGCGGGGCACATGTCTTTAAAGATGATTGTTGGAGAATAGACTTGTGGGAGAAGTGGGGGAAGTAAGATGTATCACATCCTGCAGGAGCTGGTGGTGACCTGGATTAAAGTGGTAGGTAGTAGGAGATGCTAAGGAGCTAGGTGACAGATAGTTTAGGTGTGAGAGATAAAAGGAGTTTGTGTGGGGCTTCCATCTTTGAGGTAGGTGAATAGTGTTGGTGTTTGATCAACAACGGGGCCGTAAAGAAAAGGAACACATTTAGAAAAAGATCTAGGTGAAATGTCAAGAAGCCTGGAACTCAGGCAAGATGTGCCTGAAATAAATGTTGGTGTCAGATAATACTCAAAGATCGCATAGAATGGTGCTGTTGACATGTGACTTCTGTACTGGTCATGGAATCAGTCAGCAGCTGTGACTTAACGTGAAAGGGGAACACAGCATAAAATAATCTGATTTATTTAGTGTAATAGAGTAAGTATTCATGATAATACTGCAGGTTTTGCTGCTGCTCTTTCTGCCATTGGCGATTATATGTACTAGGCCAGTGCTCTTCCACTGAGCTGCATATTAGCCTTTTTTATTTTTGATTTTGAAACAGGGCCTTCTTCCTAAGTTTCCCAAGCTAGCTTTGAATTCACCATGTAGTCCAAGGTGGTTTCAAACTTGTGATCCTCCTGTGGAATTAGAATTTGAGCCATGAATCATTGATTTTTTGAAACAGGATCTCTCTGTAGCCCTGCCTGTCCTGGGATTGACAACATAGACCAGACTGGCCTTGAACTCATAGAGATCTTTCTGCCTCTGCCTCCTGGATGCTGGGATTAAAGATGTGAACCACCATACCTAGCTAATATTTTTAATGAAAAAATACACAAAATACTGATATCTTGCTGCATAACATGATTTTTGGTTTGTCGTACAGAGCATAATTTATTATGTAATATTGAGTTGTCAAAGATCTTGACTTGAATTTTGAACACAAAACATTCCAATTGACTTTTAAAATTCTGACTGATGAAGAAGTATGTTTATTTTTAATGTTTTTTTCTTCATTCTCTCTTTCCCCTTCTCCTCTCTCCCTGATTCCTTAGACCTTTACACACAGACATAAATGGGGTGAGGTCTTAAAAAATTTGAAACTTTTTTTTTTTGGTAAGGCATGATTTTCTCTACATGATCCTGACTATCTTGAGTCTCAGTATGTACATCAGGCTGGCCTTGAACTCACAGAGCTCTGTTGCCTCTGTCTTAAAGGCATGCTCTACCAATTTTAGTAGCATATTAAGTATTTTGTCAATGCTAAGATATATTAATTAGAATTAAAATGCCAAATGTCTAAGTCTAATAACTATGATTAAATACAACCATTTTTAAACATATCCTTGAAGATATTCCTAAGTGATGTGTCTCATTTAGTCTGCCTGCCAATTCCCAATCATGTTAATGTAAGAGATAGATGCATATTCTGTCAGTTGTATTCGGCTCCTGAAGTTTGTTTTTGTCTACGGTCATTTCCTGTCAGTGACTGCAGTATGGCATATGCCAGGATTGAGAAGGCAAGTGACAGGTCTATGCTTGACAGAAATCTAATAAGGGGCAATGCAAGCTGTGCTCTAGACACCTTGAGGACCCTGAAATTGACTCTTGAGGGTCTGTCTTAAAATTCATCATGTAGCTAGGGAATTACCAAAAGAAAAAAAGAAGGGAAAAAGAAATTTCTTTGATATTTATAAACTTTAAGCCAAAACTACGCTCTGCTCCTTAAAGCAGTGCAAGCCAAAACAGCCACCAAATTTGTACAGATTTGTTAAATGTGTAATATTTAACAGTTATACTAGTGAGTACTGAGGAGGAATTGCCCAGGGAGAATAATGTTTTTAAATGCCACAATTATTAACCAACATTTTGATCTCCAAGGTAGGGGAGAAAAAAGCCACTAATTTTGCATTAAAGAAAACACTTAAGAAATCGATTGTACTTTACATTTTCTCTTGGACAGCTCATTAATTTTTCTGATTTCACCATGGGAAAGTATTTCTATTTTATTTTGTTGACGTTTAACATTAGTAAGTACAGTGACTCAAATTTTTGGCTTATATGTAAAATGCCTTTTTCATATTTCTTTTATACCTTTCTACAAATACACGTACACCTTTCCCCCCACCACACACACACACATACATGCACACACATTTTTTTTCTCTACAACACTCTCTTCTTGTTAGGTACTTCTAAATACTTTTAAAGAGTGCCATCTAGTGTCCATTTTTGAATTGTGGTTTATGGATTAGAATGTGATCATATCTGGGCCAGGGATTCAAAAGCCAAGAGTCATAATTGACAGAAGCCTTAACGAAATTTTACCTCCATATACACATCTTTCAAACAACTAGCGGTGTATATTTGTACATGCATTCCTTCAGCAAATACCTGTTACAAATGTTTAGCAGACTATTTTACATATAACAGCTAACAAAATACTCTTACAGAATATGCTAATAGTCTAGTAGACTAATAACATGCTGAATAAATAGTGTCTCATGGTGCTAAGTGCTGTGGAAGAATTAAAGCATAGAAGACAAAGTAAAGCGTCTAAGTTGTTGGGGGTTTATAATATAAGAAGTAGCTAAAGAACATTTTAGTAAGATGCTGCCTATTATTAAATATCTGGAGCAGAGCTTTGTATTTTGAAAACACCAAGTATGAAGATCTTGAAGTTGGAGTGTAGACAGAGTTTGGGAGAATCTTGATTTGCTTCAGTAAGCAATGTAAAAAAAAAAAAATGAGATGAACTCAAAAGACATAAAACAATTATCTCACGATCTGTGTTGGCACTGGAGAAGGTCTATTATTTCAGCAGGATGGAAAAATTATACAGGACTTGAGCTGAGTGGCAGAACTTCATTTTTAACAGAATAAGTTGTGGGGAATGGAGGCAGAGTGAGTCAGAAGCAGTGCAAAGGGTGTGAAATAGTTCTGTATTTATACCCAGAGATCCAGAAAAGACTGGCTAGGGGAGGGGTGGTAAAAGAGTACTAAGTGCTTCCTATTACAAAGTATCTTAAAGCCATTACTAAAAATAACATTGAATAAATCTGTAACTACAAATGCTTAACAAATAGACTGGGGAAAAGTTTCCTTTTGAAAGCCATTCATCTTTGAAGTAAAAGTTCTTAGATATAAATTCTTACTCTTTTTTTTGAAAAACACTAATCTTCTAGCTTCTAAATTGTTATATTTGAAGGCCTGTAACTATTTTTGTTGCAGGTGACCCGATGAAAACAGAAAATGAAAGGCATTAAGAAAAGCCCTGCAGAAGAATCTCTGTACCTGGAGTACTCTCACCAAACAGAAGGGTGCATCTTTCCTCTCCATACCTCTGTAGCTCTGTTTCTATTATCGTACTGTGACTGCAAGGTCTTTACTATTTGCTTAGTCCTCTCCGAAGAAAATGCAGACACTTCACTCCTGAGAGAGGTGCTGTCCCAGGATCTGGACATACAGGTTATTTCAAGGCAGGCTCTCCCACCAATCGTCCAGAATTGCTGTCTGCCTGCGGTGGTAGAACAACCAGACGTTTTCTGTAGAGCAGGACTTGCTGTTGTCCTGAGACACATAATCCAGAAATCCTATGAAGCTGAGCCATCGCGAAAGGAAATTTTGGAACTTCTGGGTTTTAAAAAGACTTGTTTGAAAGCCTGTGCAGAAGTAAGTATATGGTTTCTTCTGTTATTTATAGCTATAAGTAGTAACATTCACTCCAACATGATTCTCACTTCTTGTTTTTACTTATCGGAGAGTTAAAAGAGTTCTTTACTTATGTCATTGTTACAGGGCAATATTAAACAATAAAAATTTAGGGTGTATTTTATGAAGTTTAAATACAGTGTTTTAAAATAATGTCTCCCCTGTCCCCCCGCCCCCTGTTATATTGAGAACCTTTAAAAGAAATGTTTATATGTGTGTTCTTTCAAAGAAATATTCGTATATATATACATACATACATATATACATATATATGTATGTATGTATATATATATGAACATGAGGGTCTCTCTCTATATATTTATATATTATCTATCTATCTATCTATCTATCTATCTATCTATCTATCTATCTATCTATCTATCTATCTAT